TACAATACAGGTATAGGCTAAGGCGTCGACCGTCAGGTCGAGATAACTTTAACGAATGTTACATGACGGCGTACGTGTCAGTTACTGGGAGCCTTACTAAGGTACCCAGCCCTTTTATAGACTCGCGATTTCTGCCCACTACCGTGATCTTGATCGCGTGGTCCGTCACGTGATGCTGTCCATGCTGACTCAGGTCTAGTACTTTTCCATCGACACCGGACATATCTCGGCTCTTATTCGTTTGGCGTTTGATATACCTATAAGCTATATAGTTTAGACTATGAAATGCCTGTTTTTTTCCTTTCTTGCTTGCGTGGGTTGCCTTACACTTAGAATACAAAATGCACCAATACGTAGGTGCATTTTAATACATAAGGAAGTTCTGTTTTGGTCTTAAATGCCATTTTTTGGGGCTAAACCTGCGATTCCGAAGCTCCTTCAGGAAACCTGGCGCTGTCGTATCACGCTCATTATCTTTGCGCAGCGCGTCTGTAATTGAGCCAACAGGTCACAGCATTAGATCTTAGCGGGCCTGTTCCTTCATTAGGAAGGTGCGACCTGTTGAGCTGCTTAAGTCTAAAGAAAACGCCAACTTCCTGGCATTGTTCTTACCCGTTGAACGGAGCTAGGATGTAAAAAAATTCTCGGTGCATCGCCCTTGCGTTCTCATGCATGCTGTGTTTGCCTTCACGCTTCTTTCTCAACGCCCGCCGCCTCACGCTGCGACGCGCACGATTTCTTACTCCGACTCCTGCTAATTTTGGTTTATCTCATTCATTTTGTACGTAATTATATACGGGGGCCAGACTATTCATTCCCTTTTGGAGGTTCTTTCAAATAAATGTCTTGGCTTGATACATGTATCTTAATTTGGATTGAAATTAATTTCATCTCGAAACATTTTTTATCGTTACTCTTTTAGATGTATGAAAGCCTTCTATATTTTTAAAATTCACGATTATTGCCTACAACTATTCCATTTGGTCTTACAAATTAACACCATGGCATGTGGTGAATTTTTGTACTTGTATCTGAATTTGTAAATAATTATTTACTGACGGATAATTTATGGATCGTTCCCTGTAAGAACCATGTTACACTCGCTCTCCGACATGTTCAGGAGTATATCATTCTGTTATACCTCATGCTGTCATTATTGCAGTAAACTAGCCTTGCCACCGAGAAGTGTTTCACCTTGAACTCTCTCCCACTTCACGCTACTTTGTTGCAACCCATTATCTGCCTTCAATTGGGATCATTATTGTACTCACGTATCTCATTTACTCAGGAGAGTCTTGTGAGTTTCATTTCCATTTATAGGAAGCACATGCTTGCATTTATAATCCTGTGCATTATTCTCCTGGAAAATCATTTCAAATGCAAGATCTTTATTCATGACTCGTATTCTTATCACACCATACGAGTAGCTTAATTTATAAATCAAACAACGCACAAATGCAAGTCCTGCGTTCATAACTGGAAGCTTGTAGTTTGTAGTTCGTCATATACGAAGATTATATTAATTATGTCATGTCTTGAAAAATCATCATGATGTGAAATATACGATTTTTATTAGTTTTGTTTTCGGGTATTCTTGCTTGACGAAGACTGAATTTTATTCGTTATTTTCTTTCTAATGTTCACATATGACATAAACTCTCTTAAGTCGCTCTCATTCTGGATTTCATGCACGGTGCTGTTGCAAGTTCGTGCACAATGCAGTGCTTAAGCAATCCTTGGACTTGTCCTTGCGCTTTCACTGAGCGTAGCTTGCAATATTCGCGTTGCAAGCCATGCGGTTGCCCTGCATTCTCTGGTTTTAACCGCTGGCCTCAATACTTCCTGCCCTGCTTAATTCTAAAGACAGCTCATTTATATTCTTCCGTTACGTCTGTGGCTTTCTTAGTTATACATGAATTGTTGCGTTCAAATTTGTTAATGTATGATATGGCGTTGCGCGATGATTTTTTGTAGATGTAAATTCAAGTATATGTAAAAGGGTTTTTGTTGGTAGATATACTCGCATCACAGCTAATCTTTCTATGCGGTAATACAGCTCTTAATAACCTTCCAGTGATTATATGTTTAATAGAATCTATGCATTTCAATACTTGAATTTGTTTACCGCCTTATGCTATTAGTATTAATTAATTGTGAATTTTAGATACTTGGTCCAGATTCTCAATATTATTCGCTTGTATTTTAGTGTCGTTATTCGAATATTCAAAAAAAAGATGAGTTTAAAACGGATAAACATGTGAAAATTTCTTGCAGCGTATTTGTTCGTAAATTTCGCGCTCGGGTTACCTTATGAAGTTGATACGTTCGAGGTCATGGTTTCTGGACAGTGAATTCGAGTCTTCCATTTATTCATCTGATCTCCCTACGCGTTGTCATGTTGTTTCAGTGGTTAATATAGTGAGTCATACAAAGGGATATTCAAAACTATCTACAGGTGTAAGATTTCCATGGAGGTTCTGTAGGAAATAAGATTCAGTGAGCAAATATAGCCTAGCCGTCGCTCCATAGTATACTTGTCTGAGCAGGTCCTTGTTTGATGCAATCGACAGGCCGGACGTGGCCTTAAACAGTAGCCTCAGCTTCCTGTTCGCACACACATTTTCTGTCTGTTCAATAGCTTATGAACTGTATATCGCCATAATAAATCAATGCTTACTGTCTGTTCAGTAGCTTATGAACTGTATATCGCCATAATAAATCAATGTTTGAATAACCCCGAGTTGTTTGTGCAATTCTTTTGGCCAGGCATTTTACTGCGGGACGTGAATAAGTTGTAGAACAATTCTTTTAGGTTCTGTAGGCGCTAATTTTTTTATACACTAATTGAATCAGATCGTTGCTAAAATGAAAGTTTAATCTTAAAATCCGCAATATTTGTCGAATTTCATTACCGCCACTCTCTCTTGACCACGCTGTACAGTGTACAGCTTGTGTGAATTAACTCGTAGCCAGTTTTTTTAGTTCACACTATTTGTTTTTGATGACTTCGACTTACTTGCTTGCGACAATCTCAAAATATGATTTACTGTATTTTACAATCCTCTCCTCGACATTGTCGTCATCGATTCGAGTTCACGTGTTCAAGGTTTATGGAGTTATGGTTTAAGCCACAAATTAATCTTTCCGAACATCAATTGTGTGATTAAATTTCTCTTCCTTTCATGCTTATTCGAATGCCTGTATTGAGCGTTGTTATTTTGACTGAATAGTTTTAACTCTGAGAAAGAGAGAGTAAGTTAAGGAGGCGAATGCATTAATCTTAACAGTTGGCTCGCAATTGAAGGGTAATTTTTTCGGATTTTTTTGCTTTTGATGGCTTTGGGGAGCTGTTCTGATACGATCCTAATTTAAATAGTATTATAATAATGAATAGTTTCAAAATTTGTCTCCATCACTATATGATGAAACTGCGCATATATTATAATATAAAACTGCGAAGAATAATGGGAGTCACGTAGGTCAAGTATACGGCGTCCGCCTATCTCGCTTATCTGATTATAATAATTATAATATAAAACTGCGAAGAATAATGGGAGTCACGTAGGTCAGGTATACTTATCTCGTTTATCTGGCTCGCTTTGTTATGGGAGCGCGCGCCTGCGGTGAAACAATGGCTCATTGCGCTACGCTCTTCGCTCTCACTTTATTTTTAAAGCTCACGAAAGTTCTTCATAAAGTTCAGGGATAAACCGTTTTATTTTGTTCGAGGTTATCATACTTCCTTACGTTAATTTGACTTCAACGTCTATTTTATGTCTAATTTCTAAATGAAATGATTTTTCGTTTTGCAAGATGATGCTCATTTCCTACTGCACTTCGAATCTTATGGGTTCAATCTCATTGTAAATTTTGATAATACAGGCTGAGATAAGTATCAACGACTTTAAATCCCAAAGCAGTGGCTTCTTTTCACATTTTTCGTATTCTTAAATAAGAGACTACATTAGATTAATGTTTGAGTCAAAGTCTTAGTCTTTAATTGTGGGACATTGCCCACCGTATTTTGAACGCGGCACCCGCGCTCAACTGTGCGATCGTTAGAAGCGCTCGACTGCAATCCTGGCTGTGGACTCGTACGTGCGTGTCTGTGAGAAGGTATCTCTTAACTATAACGGTCGGACGAACGTTTTTTCCAGTTTCCCATATCTTACGCGCATTTTAATTCAAAACGACTTCAAAAGTCACTGTTGATACATTTCAAATGTAAATTATATTTTTAAGTTACGGTCTACAATGAAGAGCTTTGAACATCATTTTTGAGAGCTAAAATAGTATCATGTTTTTGAGAGCTAAAAACTTACGTTTGCCAATTTTCAGTCCTGCGATTGTATTAAAGCTTGGTATCGACACAACTTATTTTGCGAATAGAGCGCTCAAAATTGTTGAAATTAATGCGCTCTCACGATCGAATGTCACTCAATATAACAGCGTGTGGACCGATATGATTGTTCGAAGTCAGGTGCTGTTTGAGCTTTCGCGGCAAGTCTATTTCTGGGCCGCTTTTTGAGTTAGCAGGTGAGCGTTACGAAAAGTGTCGGAATTATTCATCACGATTCTTTCCTTACACATGCTTCAGGGTTCCCTGCTTAATTCCGACAGACTCACCTAGTCTGTTCCAATTCCGATAAGTTTACCTTTTGAATTCGTTTTAAAGCGGTTAGTATCATATGGTGTTCCATTTAAATGAATCGATCGTTGGATTTGATCAAAAGGAATTTTGTGCGACTTGCTATTTCCTTGTGTATCAGCGTGTCATTTTCCTAGTTTCTTCGTTACAAAATCGAATATAAGGTGCAGTTGCTAGTACCTTCTTCGTTTCGGATAAAGCATCTTGATTTCATTGGCTAATTTAACCAGGAATGACTTACTATGGATATTTTGGTACCTCTCATGAGCTAGAATTATTATAGACGTTTTATTCTTCAATGTAGTGGAATGTCCTAGAGAGGGCTTTCTAATAACAAAAATTTTCCTCGCAGGTGTACCACGCCGTCTGGTGGTGTAGGCAGCAACGGATGCTTGGGAACCCCCTTGCGAGGACCGGTGCTGTCAAGCGGCAACAGCAGCGTCCGCTCGTCACCCCACCACACTGGCAAGAGGAGCCTCAAGCATGAGAGCGGCAAACCCACACGTCTGCCGGTGCTGCGGTCCCAGACGGAGGAACAAGCCGGGTCTCCAGTACTTATGGACAAGGCTCTTCAACAGCAACTGTTGTGCGACTGTCGGGCCACCAAGACTATGCTGCTGCAGCTTAGGGCTGTTCTTCTCAACGCTGATGCTAGTGCTACGCCTCATGCTCTCGACATTAAGGTTGGAATTAATTATAACACCTTGTTTTTTTCTTTTTTCTGTGTTCAATACTTGTTAATTGCCTGAAACTTCTGCTGATTGTATCGGTCGAAGAGTCGATAATTCACGCATTGGCAAACCTTATTTTGGATAAAAGTTCCATCAATCGCTAAATTGAGTATTTCGCCTGTTGTGTGTCTCTGACATTGGAACACAACAAATGTAACTGTGAATTGTCAGGAGTTCATTTTGTTATAGTGTTCCTTGAAATGTATTGCCTTAATGACTTACTAGAATATGTATGGCCATTCAAAGAATATGTATGGTAATTAAAATAACATCTATTGTAATTCAACAGCTGCTTGTAATTATTATTGCAGGAAGCGGAGAGTAATCCATGTGATACTCAGATGAGGTGCAATGGAGCACAAAGCGTGGGCGATCAAGCGACCAGAGACGCGCTGACTCAGCAGAACGCTTCGTCACTGGAGTCCCTCCTACAACAGAACAATGACCTCAGAAGACAGGTTAAACACTCAGAGATCTCATTATGATTAATAAAATTCACTTGTAAACCAAAAATGTAATCATAAATCCATTTTTAGCCCTTTTTATCTCATTCAATTTCAGCTACAAAATGTTTACGTGATATATTACCTTTTGACGTGCTACTGCGCTACCTCTGTGTTACAGTTGCAACTGTCTAAAAGTTTTACGATATTCCAAAAGTAAAAATGAGTATTTTTGTTCACAGATCATCCAACTGCAAGAAGAAATGGAAGAGCGAGACCGCACAGTGCGACTACTGCAGCTGCAGTTGGGCCAGGCTATCCCGAACCAAACTTTAATCAACGGCACGAGCTCGTCCATCAAAGACCTGGGCAACCAGCGTCTGGTGCGCAGTCTAGGAGAGCCTGGCAAGCTGCTCATGAACAACGCGGCCACGCAGACTGACAGAACCAGCAGGATGTTCGGGGTCTCTTCCCTCACGCGACAGCCTTCTGTTGATGATGGTTTAGGTCCTACTGTCAGGTGAGATTTATATTTATCTCCATTTTCATCTTAAATTTTGAAACAAGTTATTATTTTTGACGAATATTGATCCTTCTTTCCCTTTCTTTGTGTGATACAAGATGTTGCCAATGAATTTGTTACTTCTGGAATTGAAATAGTAAGGCCTTAACCCTCTACCGCCGTTTGTCACTCTCCGGGAACATAACTTTCATATTGAATTACACGTAAACTATTGATTGTAGGCTGTTGAAACCTTAGGACGTTTGTACGCAACAGAGAACATTTTAAAGTTGTCGTACGTGGCGGCAACCATCAGTGCAAGTCATTTTGCGCTCACTAGAACGCGTCCTTTTTGGGTAGGCTTGTGTGACAATATTGCTCCGGTTATTCATGTCAGGCGGTAGAGGGCTAAGATCGAGACTTTTATCTTATCATTGAGTTTGCAAACTGCGTCTGGCACATATTTCCCCTTGAAAAAAGTGTTCATGAGCCGTGTGACTCATTCTGCTTCTTTCTCTCTCAAGCTTCCGATTGGGCAAGGTAATGGCTTTATCATAGTTGCTTATGCTCGGTGTTGTGGAAAATCTTAAAATTTGTAATATAATTATTACCTCATCTCCTTCTTCGTACCGATTGTGTATTATTCATCTGTGTTTATGTGTTGCAAAATTATCATTCGTTTGATTTACACCTACGTTTGCCTCTTATGCGAGGCTGTGTAATTTTTTTTTATTAATTTCCTTCAGGAATTTTGGAGAAGCGTTTTATTAGGAACTATCAATTGAGCTTTTTATCTCCGATATCAATGCTAAATTTTATAACAAATATTTGAATTCTCCGAAATGTTACATGTTCGACTTGCTCCAGTGTATTAATTCTCATTTCCCTTTCATGCTGGCAGGTTCATGTGGTGAGTTATGCAAGTTGATTTTTTCGCTCATTTTTTCTATATTCAACACAAATTTAGGCACATTTTTCAAATGGAATTTTATATCCTTTCTGTCATATGTACCTAATTATTGCTCATATTCTCTGCGATTAATTTTTTATAAATATTTAATGCTGGACTATTATTCATCTTTCCTGACATTATAAGGTTATTCAAATTATTTCCTTTCTCAAAACTTTTGCCCTCTCAGCCCTTCCATTTTTTTTTTTACTTTGTCGTTTCAGTCATTTGGCCAATTTGTCGTTTCAGCCATTTTTCAGTTGGTTTAGCGGCCCAACACTTTATGTTATTTATTAGTGACACTTCTACTCAGAACTTTTTTTTACCCACGTATCTAATCGATGAATTTAAAGGCCAAACAGACCTTAACAAGCGTTTGTTGTTCGCAGTTCTGAAGAGAGTGACTGCGCCACCCCCAGCCGAAGTCGCTCACTCTCACGAGCCTCTTGCCTTGGAGCCTCTGATAGAAACTCGGTCAATTCAGACGACCAAAGCGGCTCTCTGACGACTCCTTCGTCATCGACTCGATCTTCTCCTTCATGCGACCGATTTGGAAGCTCTAACTCGCCGACAAATAAATTACCTATTAGTAAATTAACTCGAGGCAAACGTGATGTTCAATGCGCTAGTGAACGAATAGCCAAGCCGACCAAATCGTTTCTTGACAAAAGAATAGACACCAAAGGAAATTCGAGCCCTATTAAAGCAAGAAGCGAATCTTTAAATGAAGGGAGAAATAGGGAGATTTCCTGTAAAACTTTCCAGGAGAGAAAAGAGATTTTTTCCGTAGCTCAAAGCCCTGCTCGAAATGCCAATGCTGCAAGGTCATCTTAATGCTCCTTGTAAGTCAGTAGAGTCATTCACTTCAGCTGTCTGTCTTAAACCTTGAAAACAGCAGAGGAGAGATCTTTGTAATAAAAATTACAATCGGCATTAGTTCTTTAGTTGTAAAAATTGTATATTGGCTCTAAGATTTATCTTAGTGTGTTCTTACAGCTGTAGAATAGTTATAAAATAAGTGACTGGGACAGCTATTTAGCGTGATCTAGTGCACTATTCTAGTGTATCTAGTGTATGTATCTAGTGTATCTAGTGTATGTGACAGGAAGTGTTGCTTGAACACTACTAATGTGTTATTTTGAATGGTGATTGGTACTGTAAGATCTCTAGCTATACTTAATTGCCTTCAAAATTCGTGAAATTTGCTTGTGATGCGCGACAAATATGAACCCTTTGTTCGATCATTTTAGCCCGCGCATTTCGATGTGTATTAAAAACGCTCGTTCTTGGTGGAAGTTTTTTACAAATTTTCATTCGTTGTGTCCCATATTTTGAATTGGCTTCTATATTATCACTGGCGCAGCATCAAAATGCGTCACTAAATCGGGCCATCGAAGTTTGCGCTCGACGAGGGAAATTGTTCCCTTCACCTACTTATTGTCATACAACAACTATCACTTGTAAGGCCTATTTTTCTTGATTTGTTTCATTTCCTTACTGTGATATGTTAACTGAGTACGGATGCCTACTCATTCTGCTATTCGGATTTTAATTAAAGGTTTTCTTTTATTGTGGTCGTTGCAACAGATCCGCTCCGTATGCAGCGTTATGCATTAATGAGTTCCTAAGAGATGCAAGTCTTGAGTAGCTTCTTTTGTGTTGAGTCGGAACACCAAAGATTATTTTAGAAGCCCTGATAGGGCAGCGCGTGTGAGAAATATGCGTTTAATTTTTAGTTGCCAGTTATGATCGTAACGGCGGCGTTGTGATGCAAATAAACTCTGCTATTGCGTCTGCTTTTGCCCGATTCTTTATCTTGAAAAAATGATTTTATTCCCCTTATAGATATCTTAATTACAAATCTTGAAAACGCCTCATTTTCTCCTTGCTATTTGTTAATTTCCGAAATGAATTTTGTCTGAATTTTTACGTGATCACAACTATTAACCGGTTTTTGACTACATCTTTGTCTTGTCTGCAACGTCAAAACGCCATTACTGCGAACCAGGTGCCGATGCTTCTACCTAATTTCCTCTTACCTTATTACAGTGGATCTGATGATAATAACTATAATAATAACCATGATCTGCACATCTCAACTATCTCTCATTATGCTATGTATTAAACCTGTGGAAGTAGACCCGCAACCAGTATTGTGTCTCTTCACCATTGACTGAATGATTGTGTGTTCTCTAGTGGGATTGTACGTATGTTATTTATGTTCTATTTATGATTGCTTAGCGTAGATCGATGGTATAATTAGTTTATATCCCATCCTTCGCTACTTGCTTGTACGGGTGCCGATCTTCTGAATATGTACCTTGCTTGAAAATGGTTTGGTTTAGATATTTTCAATAATAAGCGAAGTATTCTAGAAATTCCTATTGATCTTCAATATCAATCGGATAAGGAGTATGGGCGTTACTCGAACAAAGTTTCTGTTCAAAAATATAATTAATCCAATATTCTTTCATCTGCTGCACCGCAGAGGATTTTAATTTTTCGTTCTATTGATTTTCCAAATGAGAAATTTACAATATTGTATTGTATTGTTCAAGTACTTGAAGATTTTCAAATTATTGACTTAATAACATGTGAAAAACGTAGATTATTAGTTGATAAATGAATACGTCACTTGGAGATTCACAAGAGGCAAAAATTGCTTTCGTTCAAATACTAAATAATTTGGAAATGTAGGACAAGCATTGACTTTTAGACTTGCGTTCGTGCAGCCTCTTAACCATTCCTCAGTGATTACGTTGAGTCAATTATGTTCGGATTGATAGGCTTAGCAATGTTATTGATGCACAAACATTCATTGCGAATACTATACTGGGAGCTTCAACGTCTTGAAATCTTCATAATTAATGTTGTTCCTTGTGCTCTTATCCTGAATATATATAACTGTAAACCATACCGCCAACTAGCTTAACTACGGGCGTATAAGGCTGCCAGAGAACGCCTCATTGTATACATTGAGAACGCATTGTACAGAGGACATCAGTTACAGTGAGTAATCTCTTGTTGCTAATAATTTTTGTCAATCAGCGTGATGATGGTTTGAACTCAGATCTTTGGAGCGTTGGTTGTACAGGTTATATCCAACTGTGATTTTATTTTATAGTTGTTGATATTTTACATTCCTGTTAGTGGTTTCTGCGGATAATGAATATACTGCTACGGATGAGCTTTTTCTGAGAAGATTCGTTTTGTCATCATTTGAAGGTTTTCTCTTTCTATAACTACATTCATTCTTATTCTTCTTAACATCGAAAGGAATGCTAAAGTTTTCCTCCTTTTTTGCATTTCAACAAATAAAATCAATCTGTCTACAATATTGTATTTCATGTCCTTCTAGTCTTTTACATCTTTCCATCTATATATTGAATGCTGAAGACATGCGTGAATACAAATACATGTTTTGGTGTTTATGTTTTCATGTTTAATGAAAGAAACCTGTAATCACAGTTAATAGGAGAGTTAGTAACGGTTCTGATATTTCCTTCAACTTTGGGAATTATTGAAAATATGACAATTATCGTAATTTTTTATTACCGGTAATGATGTAACTGGGACATTCATCCAAGAGAAAAAAATCAGACCAAAAATATATCTACATTTAATACTGATGTAGGGTGAAAAAGGTCCACTAGAGAGTTTTAAGGAATATTAAGATGTATCAAAGTAATATAACAGGAGAGGCACTCGACTAAATTTCACAAGACATTTACTTGCAATTGAATTCTTAAGTAGTAAATTAAGCGTCGGGATAACAACTCAATTGTATTAATAAGTAATTCATTCAATTAGTTCACGCGCAGAACACCTAAGTGACACTTAATCCTTTAGAAAACTTAATAATAATAGATTAAAATTATAGCGTAAAAAGAAAACCGTAACAATAATATGAAATAACCACAACCAAGTAATAATAGTACAAAAGCTAACTACGAACAAAATTATCGTCATCTGACTGAACTATGACGATGAAGCAAAGAATTCCTTTCGTAATTCCCGTAGGGCCGAGGAAGTGCATCAAACGCAGTCCTGCCAGAGCGACTGCTCATGCTGAGACAGGAGCTGTTGAGAGGTCTGCTGGTGATTACATCAGAAGGCTCTGTCATCGATCGTCGCCCCGAAGTTGAATTAACCGAAGAAACTACTGATTGGTAACGAGCGGCTGGACTGTGAAAAGATGTCCCTGAAGAGGATGAGCGCAGCAGATTAGAACCAACGGTCTGATAATTTGACCTTTTTGCGATTCCAAATGAACTCGCAGAAGGTAGACTTGACGTAGAAGTATTAATATTAGATGGCAACGAGCAGGCAGCAAGGCTGTGCGTAGAAACGAATTGCTTTAGTTGAGGCCTCGAAAAACGTCCAGCCGGACTCTGTGATTGAGCCCATTGGGGCAACAATGGACGGGTAGTTGGAGAGAAGACTGAACTCTCGGAAGCGCTTGCACCTATCGAAACATTAGATGACCGGAAAACTTGTCGGGTATAAGCAGCTGTGTGGGGGTAATGTGAATTACGTGTGGCGGTGCTCGCACTCGTTTGTATATCATTGGAGTAACGAGCCGATGGACTCGTTGAAGCTGCGTAACGAGGATGTGAAAAACTTGTAGAGAAACGATCCCATGAGTTAGAAGCAGGTGAATAAGTGGAAGAAGAATGCAACGGGCTAGCATAACTTCGAAGGGTTCTTGGTATATCTAACGAATGAGTGGAATAATTATCAGATAAAGCCTTTTGGCGTTGGAGTCGCCTCGACTTAGAATCGAACGAATTTTGCTGTTCTGTTACCCTGAGTCTGTCAAAGTCCGCTCCTGTAGGAGTAATGCCTGACAGCTGTTGGAAGCGATCTAATCTAGAGCGTGAACAATGTAAATTATCATAGGATTTTTGCAAGTCACGAACTGGTAACAGATTTCGGTTTTGAATTTCTTTACTGCGAATCACTGCACTTGAATGGGATCCTCCATGAAAAGATGCAAGCTGCTGCCTTTGGGAACGCAAAACTTCCCGCAGCTCCTGACAGGCATCACGGATTCCAGTCCCATCCACTACATCCGGGTGTTTGGGAAGAGGTCGCAACTTCTGAGAACGATCGAATTTGGAACATAAATCAGCAAGACGCAGTTTCTCTGCCTCGACAGCCTTCGTGATCAAATCGCCACCTGTAGGCAATAATCTCGATTCCGAGAGAAGCAAGGAGTCTGCAGATGAATGCAGTTTTTGTCTACGGGACTCCAGTGAAGGAATCGATGACGAGGATCGTATCGTAGTAGGGTTCTTCCCAGAAATGAGACCCAAGGCCGGAGTGCTTGCAGATTTAAATCGCATACTTTCATATGTTGCGTCGTAAAGTGGTCGTCGCAGCACACTTCTATTTTTCGGTGGTAAAATTGATTTTCGGGTATTCAGTGCATTATATGCCGGATTCGTACGAACACCTTCCAAAAAAGACGTGCGTTTCAGCTTCCTCAGAAGTAGATCAGCGTCCGAAATAATATTCGAATATGAACTTAATTCAGTAGAAGCTTTGTTCAAACTTTTTTCACTGCGGAACTTATTTAGATTATTACTTTTTGATGCCCACCCGTATCTGCTATGCTTAGGTGATGGTGGGGCAGATTGTGTCTTAGATCCAGTTGATTGATGAGCCGTAGACTCGAGCGATTTCTTAAATTTTTCAATAAATATTAGTAATTCTCTTTCAAAAATTGGAGAAATTTTCGTCTTTTCTGTTGCAACGCTGTTTTTTTGTGGACCGTGAGGTACGAATTTATAAGGTGTAAGATTTTTAATTATTGACTTCGGAACCAATTTTCGGTCTGCTTTCGGCGTACTTTGGGTCACGTCGTCTCCTAAACACCGCACATCGCTCCAGGACACCGACTTGGTTGAACGAGTAGGAGCAGCTGAGGTCGCGGTGCAGGAAGAAATTGCCCTTGGTTGCTCGACGCTTTCATTGCCGCCGTAGCCCATGATCAATTTTTGCAAATCCGCCCACCTCTCATCTTCTACGGGATTTTGTCGAAGAGGAGGCGTTTCACCACTAACAACGACTTCTAAAAACTCATCGTTGTCAGTAGAATCTTCATAAACTTCACAGCTGATACTCTCTAGTTCTTTAGCCAATCGTTTTAGGTCATCGAATGTGATATTTTTAGATATAATTTCTCCCACATCTCCGTCACTGCACGATCGAATTTTGTTAATGCTGGAAGAACTGCAAAGAAGATTCAACGATTCAAAAGAACCGACTCTTTTACTCTTAAAATTTCCGTAACATTTGGTTTCGCACGCGGCTGGGTCTCCATCGTCCGAATCAATGAAAATAAGCGTGAGATTTTCATCATAGGAGCCATCAGGGCAAAGAGGCTGATCCCAGAGGATATCATTACTGTCCAATGGGGTCAGTTTATCAGATTTGTTGACAAATTCAGGTATTTCATCATCAGGTTTTGTCGCGAGAGGACAATTATCATCTTTCCGAGGCGATCCATCAAATTCTTTTTTGTCCAGGTCAGAGTTCGTCACTAAATCGTCAATATCATCTTCAACCTGTAACACTTCCACTTCTTGGCTGGCAATGTGTATTTTAGATCGAAAATAATCAGAATCGAGTATCGAAGACAGATTCGTATCGATATTTTCTTCTTTTAGGTAAGATAGATCGTTGGACACAACATTTGCTTTTGGAGAGATGAATCCTGGGCAGTATTTCACCATGACGGGATGTGCAGACCTAGGAACGTTCTGAGTGTTTTCAATTACATCGGAGACCATCTGAACTGGCAAAGGTGGATGGAATCGAGCAAAAAATTCATTGGTGGTAATTTTTTCTACTTCTTTACTTTCAGGCAATGGCTTTAAATTCAAGATCGCAGTAAAATCTTCATTTTTTAAAGGAAGTTTTTGTTCAGGTGCCACTTCATTATCACTTATCAGCTCACTCCAATGTTGATCGTCACTTCCTGTATCAATTAAATTTTCAATGCTTACAACACGTATTGTACGTTTAACCGAAAGTAAGCTATCATCCAAGAGCGCAGAAAATTCGTAATTGGGCGTTTCCGATTCGGATGCATAGTTAACTCTTAATTCAATTCGAGATTGAGTTATTGCTTCTTCTTTATGAGAGCTAATACCCCGTCGTTTGGTTTCTTGATTGTCCTCTGTTCCGGAATCATCTCTATGTTCCAGAAACAAAGGTAGCTCATCTACCAACGAAATATCATCCGTTGAAAGAAAGTTGTCACTAGAATCTACTTCTTCTGGACTTTTTTTTACAACAATTTCTGTGTTCTCAGTTTCAGGTTTCGGTAGTTCATTTATGGCTATAGCAGAATCAAAACACTGGTCGGCGATCGACTTTCCACTCGTCATGTCAGTCACCTGAACAGCTCCGGCTTGCTGGAACTGTAATTCGTTCGAGATAGCACTGTCAGTCATGATTAATTCTTCTTTTGATATATCAGTGACACGATACCCTGTTGATCTGCCTAAATCCTCAACATTTGATTTATCGCAGCCACTGCTCATCACGATTGGAAGCAAAGCACTCGTCACTTGTCCGCATTTTAAAACATTGCAATTGATTTCTGTAGACGGGAAAGAGTCGTCTGTTAAAAAGTTATCAGAACAAATTTCACTATAAGATTCTTCAACACAAATAGGCATGACAGACTTTTCATAGTTGGGAAAGACTCCGTCGTCGAGTGGCAAGGAGTTCACTGCAACTTCACTTTCTTCTATATCGGCTACATTTTCTTCTTCTGGAGACCGATTTACGTGAGAAGTACTTGACGTTTCCAATGGTTTAGAATGGCAGAATTCTGACTCAAATTTTTTTCCCATCACAAGACTCGCACCAGTGAGTTGCAACGCTTCTTGAATACAGTCGGTAAGATAAAATTCAGGAATTTCCTTCAAAGAAAGCGATTCTTCATCCTCACACATAACTTCACGACTTGTGTTCAATTCACGATGATCATTGTATAATGCTCCAGCGCGCAAATCACAAGAAACTGTTTCTTCCAAACAGATATTATCATTGTCACCATTTTTTTGCTTGAAAAAGTCATTTCGTTCCGAATTAATGACCAAAGGTGAAGAAACACTTGGTACTAGAAAATCTGATGCTGCCTCTTCAGAACGAATATCAGAATGATTATCAACATTCGTTGTAACGGGAAAAAACGCTTCTCCCAAATTTTTTGTTTCGTCTAATTCATCTCTGTGCACTTCTATGCCCAGATCTGCTCCGATGTGATGAGTCTTGTCTACTAGTTCGGTTCTGATTAAGGGAATAATGTGCGCTACGCCAG